CTCCCACAGATGCTAGCAGCCGGACTGAGCAGACTAAGCCAGCGAGACTCTTCACATCCCAGCTAGTAGGCTCCCCTGGCCGCCCCTGAGGCATATCCGGGAGTTAAGGGAGTTATAAGCGAGGACAGTAACATGCCTCCACATTCCTGGATGCTGCCAAGCGCTGATGTGAGTGGTGTTCCGCTCCTCATGGACAATGGGCTCGTTTCAAGAATGCCACTCAAATGGTGCCAAGTGCCCAAAGCGTGCAACCCAGGCCTGCCTACATCCCAGCCAATGCCCTGCGCTGGCATCATGGAAGCTCCCTGTAACACCATGCATGAGGTGCACATTCTTATGGCGGGACCTGCCTGTTGCTTTAAGTTCCACACAACTTGTTTTTGTCATAACACCAGAGGAAGCAGACGCAATATTTTTGAAATTAGAAACAGCCCCCAAGTCTTTGTCCTCTCACTGATGGTGCTTCGTATTAATCCATTAAGGCAATCAAAACAGCTTAAATAAAAGTCTGAAGCCTGCAATATACATGTCAATGAACAAGCAGTAAAGCTTCCTGCAAAGGTGATTTCAAAGCCATATTGCCCACGCTTGGCAAATTGCATATTTAATTATTGTGTCAGTCCTCCTCCAGCTCTAATCTTTGGGGAAAATGCCTCAGGCCATGCGAAACCAGTTAGGATAATTAAGGGACTGTGGGATTAGGTGTCGGCTGATTTCTCAGAAAGATATCATCCTCTAGCCCGGTATAAGAAGTGTGCCTGCCCCAAAAGGCAGGCAGTGATGTCTGCCTCTCTATGGTGAGATCAAAGGTCTTTTACCTCTTTCAAGATGTTTGTAGAATTTGTTTCCCAATTATCCCACATTTGCGCACTGGGACATCCTAGTTAACTCTTTGGTGACACCGCTGGCACTGGTCTTCCCAGCTCCCGGGCCCACTGAGCTTCCATCAGAGACCCAAGCTCAGAGGGAGTGGAAAGGGATGGGAACTGGGGCCAGGCCTGGTACCGAACCCGAGTCAGTTGCCTGAGCTGCAGCCATGCTCTGTGCTGAGCAGCGTGCGGTTTCCCTGAATCCATCTGCCCTGGCTGCTGAACCCGTACAGCAGTGAGTGGCGAAGGTGGTGTGAGCCGGAGCGAGGGTCTTACCAAACTTAACGACTGAAGATCGGAGCTTGGCTGCTCTCGGGGACCGTTCTAGAGAGGAAACACCTGACTGTCAGATCCCCACATTGCAATGCGGAAGATTCTTTCTTTCAAGCCATCAAATCTTTAGAAATAATTTGTGAGAAAATAGCCAGGACTTGAACTGGAAATGTTAGTTGCAGCATCTACACATATGGCTAATGGCGCACAAAACTGAAACTCAAACATTAAAATATTAAGAAGCTCTATTAGTGTTCCTATTAGGAACACTACTTGTAGTTATGTCTACTTCCAAATGAATAACCCAGCTGATATTTATCCATCTTACAAATGGTTAGCTTCTCTCCTGTTTGCTTAGTTCAAATAATCTGTCTTCAATACCTTTGTCTTTGCGAGAGAAAGAGACAGAGAGAGAGAGAGAGAGAGAGAGAGAGAGAGAGAGAGAGAGAGAGAGGCCCAAAGAGAGAGAAAGGAAAAGCCTTCTTGAGCAAATGGGACAGCCCTTTTGGAAATAATCTTTTCAAAAATCCCTCAACAATTTAAAAAATGAAATCACATTGTTGCAAGGAACTACATATGCCCAGGGCCATTCGGCAGACTGTTCAACTAGCACTTTTGAATTTTCTTTTCTTTCCATTTTTAACACTGAAAAATCCATTTGTGTTCCAGCGGGCAGTAAACTGAGCCGCTAAGAGCCCAGAAGCTTAGTGAGGAAAGCCATCTTTATGCCCTGGGCACCATTTGTTTTTGTTTTTTTAAATTGCAATGTTACCAAAATCATAAACACACACACACACACACCACACACGCACACACACATACACCACTGCACTGAGGTCCACCAAGAACAAATTTAAAGGCACCTTGTTTCCCTACTCATTCCCTGGAGAGGGAGTGCCCGTTATATATCTACATTACATATGTATAATATGCACATATATTTACAAAGAATGCATTTTTCTGCTCTTTGCAACAGGGAAGGGGCAACTTCAATCTCCTGATGTCACTGCAGGCTGAGAGCAAGCACCATTGTCTTGCTGTAGTTTCTGTCACCATAGAAGTGGCCTTGGGAAGGGATGGAACCATTCCACCAGGGATGGGATCCTGTGTAGGATAGACAAAGCTAGAAAGTAAAAATAAAGATGTCCTACGTCATATGAATTTCAAATAAGGAATGATTTTTTTGTATCTAAGTATGCCCCAAAGATCCCAGAAAAGTACTACATATTCTAGCACTGAAAACTGCCCTTTAATTGTTTGAAGGCAGCTCCCATAGAGAGTGTTCTAAATGTGCTGATTAAGGCTGAGTGAGAACAGCTGTTTTTTTTTTTAAATCTATCTATCTATGGATCGATCGGTGGATCTAAGAATCTATTATCTAGAAACAGAATGAGGCCAGCCAGGAAACCGCGCTCTCTGTTGAGGCAGGTGATCTGTGGCTGGCTGTTAGTCTGCTGGGACAGGGACTCCTTTGCCCTGGTGTCCTTTCTTGATGGTCAGAGTGTAAGATCAGTAGGTAGGGATGGAGGGAGGGAGCTGGCCACGGGAGGGTGGAAGGTCTCCGCGTCTGGTCCAGCCTATCTCCGGGTGGAAGGTCTCCGCGTCTGGTCCAGCCTATCTCCCAGGGCTTCTGTGTTAAGAGATGAAGACCCTGAAGAGGCAGTGTTGGCTTGGGTTGCCCACTGACCTGCTCCATGCACGTACTAACCAGCAAACCCCGGAACCTACAAACTTCTTCAGGTACTGCGGGATTCCTGAGTTCTGAAGAACCAGGTCCCGGAGGCCTTCCTAACCCTGACCTGGATGGGCTCTGGGGTGAAGGTGGGTGGGCTGGGGGCACCAGAACTTTTCAGAGACGTTGACCGCCGGAAGGCTTTGACTTAGTGATTCCCTGTGAGTAGCAGGTCCAGCACCCTGAAACTTGAGGTCTCCCAAACATCTCTCTGAGTGCACTGAACTCAGAAAAGAAACTGCAGAGGGCCCTATGGGAAGAGTGTGACCTTGGGCTGCAGGCCTGCCAGGGGGCCACCTTGGTCTCCGTGGCAAAGACACAGGCACAGTCTAACTCTGATTTACAACATATCCCTAGAAAAGGAGGTTGTAGGTTCTCCAGGGTCCTCTCTTCTGGGTGTCTCTTCCTTGTCGTCTATAGAGGGCACAATGACCAGTGTTGGAGTTCTGGGTCTAGTCCTTTCTCAGCTCCCAGGATCCAGCAAAGAGCTGGCATCCCATCCTCTCTTCAGCTCCATCCATTCATTCAGCCAGTCCCTTCTCCTATCCTCCCTAACTCCATCCTGCTGTAGGACGACCCCTTTGGTCCTGCTTGGCCTCCAGGGAGACCGAGAACAGCTGGCCAGCATCTGGTGTGCTCCATTAGCCAGGGCCCCTGCCCCCTGGGCCTTCCGCTCCCCAGGCAGAATAATCCTGTTTCCTCTAACCTTTGGGCCCGGCCCGTGCTCCCAGGCTTTCATCATGGCCAATGTGCCTCTGGAGCCACTCCAGGGGCCCCTGGCCCTCCTGTGTCTTGGCTGGGCCAGGCCAGGCTGGCGGGCAGGAGTGGGGCAGGGGTGAGTGACCTCTCTCCCCTACTGACCAGGGAGGGGGGAAAGGGCAGCCATGCCTCAGGAAAGGGGGCAGATGCAGGGCCAGGCTCCCCGACAGCCAAGGTGAGTGTGTCTGACCTGCGGAGAAGACGGGCCAGAGGGGCCTAGGGTGGCTCAGGTGGGGCCTCCGTCCCGAGCTCCGCCATTGTCGCCTCCTTCCCCTTCCAGCCCCCTCACCTTCAAAGAGGTGAGCTGAGGAACCGGCCATACCAGTGAGTGCTGGGAGGAGGGCGAGACTCTCCTGACCCCGACCCATCCATCCGGGCTAATGCCTGCCAGGTTTGACTGGATCCTAGGCCTGCAGGAATTTTCCAGAGTCCCTGCCTGCAAGCATTAAGGATCTCCTCTTTCTCGATGATTCTGTAGCTGCAATAATCCCCACATGAGGCCTAAACCCATGGGTGTCCCTCCACTGTCCTGGGCTGGGTGGTTTCCCAAGCTTCCCCAGGCAAGCCTAGTGGATTTGCTATTCACACTCAGTGCTTACAGAGCTGCACGGCCACCATGCTGGTCTCATCACGGCCTTCGGAGCCCCGCCTCCATGCAGGTACCCAGCAAATACCAACGAATTCAAACCCGGAAAGAGTACACACCACGTTGGTCTAAGAGTGGTCAGACCATCCTGACCTGGTGCTTAGAGCCACCTTGTCCTGGGAAGAGCTGCACAGGTTATCCTGTGAGCTCATGGCCTGAACAGTCCCTCTGTCTGTCTCCACTGGGGCCTCCCTGGGACTGATCCCCCCCCCCAGCTCACATCGCAGGCAGGAAAGAGCATACAGAGCCTCCACAGCAGCCTTGCCACACCATCCGGAACCCCAGCATGGACCTCACAATTTGTTCAGCGATCAAAACTTGGAATGAACTCAAGAGCAGAGTGATACGTATTAAATGCAAACTTCTAATTATTCCTTTAGTAATTGTTTTTTTTCCCTTCTGCCTGAGCTACAAAGTATGTTTCTAGCGATTATTGGTAGCATTCGAGAAATTGCCCTTAAGATATGCAAGCCACATTTTGCAGGAACCCCACTTGAGAAAGAAGAACTCTCTCTCCCCTCCATAGTGATTATAAGAAACTGGGAAGTTAAGTGTGTCCCTAATCACAGTTCCTCAGTGCCAATAATAGGAGGGACCGGCCGCTAGCAGGCAAACAGGGTCAGGGGAAGAAGGTGGCAAAGAATTTTCCGATAACAGCAGAGCCCGGGCCCCTCCCAAGGCTCTGTAAGTGGACCTAGGAGGTTAGAGAAGCAGGGCTTACCTGTTGGACAGACGTCTCCAGGGGCAGGTTGGGGGCAGATTAGACTCGGGGGACAGGACCAGACCTGGGCTGGGCCTCAGGAGGGAGAGGCAGGCCTTGTGGGCCTGGGCAGACAGGTGCACAGCCCCATTGGTCTGCCGTGGTTACCTGCAGATTACTGGTGGTTTATTAGTGGCTCCCGCAATACCACAGGAGCACCTGCAGGCAATAAAAACCCTCACATGTGTGAGGCCTCGAGGAAATTAACGGCTCCTCCCTAGAGACGCATATTTTGTGAAGATGTTTATTACAGATGAAGTGCTCCCGGGGTGGGGCATTAACAAGTTGTAGAGTGATAAAGGGAGTTTTATCCCTTTTTCGGTGACAGAAGTAGGAAGAAGGCTTTAGCGGAATCTATAAAAGGCTCACTCCTAATGAATTTTCTTAACTCTTTATTAATAGGGTTGACTTCGTGGAGGGAGGAGAGATGGGCTAGACTCTCAGACAAGGGAGGTTGGGGTTGAGCCAGAGGTGTAGGGCTGGACTCCGGGTGGTTAATGCCTGAGTCTGAGTGCAAATCTTGAGTCGGACAGATGAGGGCTGGCGGGTGCTACCCCAGGAAACTCGTTTGAGGGTCCTCTGATGCTGGTGAATGGAATCCCAGGCAGGGTCCAAGCCTCTCCTAACCCCATGCTCCCCACTCTGGCCTGCAGGTCATTACCAAGATGAAAGCCCTGGCCATGCCTCTGGACCAGGGTTGAGGGATCTAATTGAATTATATGAACGCAGTTAAACGGCCGCTTCAGAGAGGCAGGGCTGCCTTCCAAGCCAGGCTGCTCAGGGGAACTAATGGGCTATTTGAACAATAGCGGCCGAGGGCCGAGCACAGGTGGGCTGTGTTAATGACTTTATTTAGACCTGCTTCTTCCACCCTTTGAGGCGCACAAGCCTTCCATTAATGCATTCATTAGAGTTTATGGCCGGGCTCTGGTTTTCTCCTAATGACAATGTCCAGACCCGCCTCCCAAGCTAATTGAGGCCAGCTGCCCGGTTTGCCCCGCCCCAGCCTTCGGACCCAGTGTCACCAGGATTAGTGGCCTGGGCTGGAGTAAGGGCTGAGGGGGCGGGACTTCTGCAGGGGAGGAGGGAGGAGTCAAGGCACCTCAGATAGTCACTGCTGTCCCTGCTCCCTCCTGGCCTTCCTTCTCAGCCACACTGAGCCTCCAGAAGGACAACTGGGCTGCGTAGCCCCTTGCCGGGCAGCCTGCCCCGGCTCCCTTTTGACCCGAAAGGAGTGCAAACTCACACTCAGCATTCGTCAAGCCTCATCTCCCCACCAGCTGGGCACAGTTCAAATCTAACACTGCCCAGGAAGCCTGGGTTTTCTCCTCGATCAGATCTCTAGGAAGGGCCTAGCACGCACAAGACCTGTGGTTTAATCCCCAGCACTGCATAAACCAGATGCGGTAGTGCACGACTGCATTTCCAATGGACAGGAGGAAACAGCAGGAAGACCAAAACTTGAAGATACTGAGCTTGAGGCTAGCCTGGGATGCATGGAATCTTGACTTTAAAAAACTCCAGTGCAACGGTATCACAGCAGTGGTCTGGCCCCTACTTACCAAGCGTTTCTTGCTTGCTGATAGTTCTGGAAATAGCTCAGTCCCCCCTCCCCCAACACCCTGGGAGGTTCATTTTCTTGTCCCCGTTTCGCAGATGAGAAAACTGAGGCTCTAAGACAGGAACTTGCTTGTTCAAGGATACCCAACTGTTCCATCTACTGTCTGGGTGACTGGCTTCACCTCCACAGTAGCAGCATCTCCAGCTTGGGTTTGTTTCTGGGTGGCAGAAGCTGTTCATGCTGATTTGCGATGCCTCCTTGTTAGACATCTAGGAAATGCTGTGAACTGAGAGTGTGTTTTAAGTTTCTTCAATTATATCGACGTGGAGGCAGGGAAATGGCTGGGTCTGTAAAGGGCTCACCTTGCTCGCCTGAGGACCAGAGTTCAGTCCCTAGCCGCCATGTATAAGAAGGCAAGTGTGGGGGTGCACAGTTGAGATTGTGGAGGCAGGAGGCTCCCTGGCTGGCCGACCTGAGTCTAACTAGTGGGTTGCGGACCAGTGAGAGGCCCTGACTTAGAGCCCAAAAAAGGTTCAGGCTGTCAAGGTGGCGGAGCAGTCAAGAGCACTTGCTATTCTTAGAAGGCCTGGGCTCAGTCCCCAGCACCCACAAGGCTGCTCACAACCATCTGTAACTCCAGTCCCAGGGGGAACTGATGCCCTCTTGTGGCCTCCTTAGGCACTGCAACACGTGTTGTATACACATATATGCAAACGAAATACTAACATCCATAAAATAAGATAAATACATTTTAAAAAGGTGAATAGTGCCTGAGGAACCCATCAGAGGTTGTCCTTTGACCTCTGCACATATAAACATAAGTGTGCACACTCACCCATACACACACACATGCGCGTGCACACACGCGCTCTAAACTTGCAATTAAATAAGTGACACTCTGATCAAAAGTCATAAAACCTCCCAGCTCATCATTTTCCTGCCATCCAACATCTTGAGGTGTTGCCTAGGGTTATGGTATGAAATCTGGGCATGACATGTTCCCAGGTAATGGACTCACAGAGAGGTTTAATTGGCTTCAGTTTGGGAAGTCTGGTCCGCCATCTCTGGGCCCCGCTGCCTTAGGCCTGTGGCAGGCATGGAAGGCATGCAAGGTGGCCTCTGGACAGACGCTCAGCACGGCCAAGAAGGCGAAGATAAAACAGGAGGGACTGGAGGGAAGGCTCGGCCTTGGGGACTCCGCGGGGCCAGAGTTCAGTTCCCAGCCTGTCAGGTGGGTCACAACCGCTTGTAACTCAAGCTCTAGGGGATCCAAAGCCCTCTTCTGGCCACCACAGTCACCCACACACACATGTGCACACACATGCACACAAACGTACACACACAATAAATAAATAATTTTTTTTAAAGAAAAGGATCCAGGCTTGGGGCCAGACACCATAGCCCCAGGGAGGCAGAGACAGGGGAATCTCTGTGAGTTTAGGACCAGCCAGGGACTAGACTTAGAGAGACCCTGTCTTAAATGAATGAACAAACAAACAAACAAGCAAATAAAAATTTTCTATAAAGAAAAAGAAGAAAAGACCGGTGTCCCACAATCCTCTTTGAACGCACATCCCCATTGATGTAAAGGGCTCCTGCCAGACACCACCCTCTACGCCCCCAGTGGCATCGCACCGGGAGCCAAGCCTTCACCATGTGGGCCTTTGAGAGACACTTTAGACCATCACTTACCCGACTGGGCGTTCAGTGAGCTCCTGTTTGTTGCGGCAGATCACCACACACCTTGGGAGTGTTTACACCATGGAAACCACACCCCGCAAATCAGCGCCTTTCTCTTTGGAAAGCCAGTTGGGAGATCTAGAAACACAGCAATAGGGAAGTCAACCCAGAGCCCTGTGTGCAGTGTCTGGCAGGTACTGAGCACTTGATGATAAATAAATAGATAGATAGATAGATAGATAGATAGATAGATAGATAGATAATAAATAAATAAATAAATAAGGAATTGTTCTTGTGCTGGTGAAGGAGTTTGTCGATCCTCACAAGTTGTCCCCTAACCTCCATACGCAACACAGCTAAATAAATAAATGTGACAGATGAAATACTGTTTCTTTCATTATTTTTATGTGTATGGGTGTTTCGCCTACCGGGATGTCTGTGTACCATGTGGGTGTCTGACCCACAGGGGCCAGAAGAGGGCACCGGATCTCCAAGGACTGGAGTTGCAGACTGCGGCGAGCTTCCCTGTGGGTGCTGGGAACTGGGCCTGGGGTCCTCTGGAAAAGCACCCCTTACGCTTTACCACTGAGCCGTCCTTCCAGTCCCATTGCTTGTTACTTGTTCTGGTGGAGATGATGGCAACTCAGTCCCTGTGCTCCCGCCCAGGGACTTTCTCGTGTTTGGTGTCAGGCCCTACCCAGCTTCCCAGATTTCTCCATAGGTTCCCAGGGCCTAATGCATTCCAGACAGAGAGCCACCCCGTTAAGGACCCCTGCTGTAGGCGGAGTTTTCTGTGTCCTGGCGGTTGCTCCCAAATAGCCACAAAGAGGCTTAATATTAATTGTAAATGCTCTGTCGATGCCTTAGGCTTGTTTTTAGCTCTTTTCACTTAAATTGACCCATTTCCATCAATCTGTGTGCTGCCACGTGGCTGATGGCTGCAACCTCATGTGTACATGTCTTGCTTCTCCGCACCTGGCTGGCAACTCGTCTGACCTCCACCTTTCTCTCCCCAGCAGTCTCTCTGCCCTGAAAACCCTGCCTAGCCATCAGCCTTTTATTAACAATGAGAGAAATACATATTCATATTGTCCATAAAGATCGTTCCCCAGCAGACCCCCAGGCTCTCCATCTCCATGGTCAGGACTGGACCTCCGTCCCTCTCCCTGTCCCTTCAGCCCCAAGTCCCGTCTTTCTGTTCCTGAGTCCTTGCCATCAGCACTCTCCCTCACTCCCTCCAGTGCACCCTCCTTCAGATGGCAGTGTGACTGTCCCCATGCAGAGTCCCAACCTTTGGCTGGTCCTTCTCAATGCTAAGGAAAGGCTTTGGCACCCTGTCCATGCCGGCCTAGCCCTCCCCTCCCACACATCCATGCACCCTTCTCTGGTTGCTCAGAGCCTCGTGTATCTTGAGTGTCTTCCCCAGGTGCTGCAGAGAGCACGGGCACAAAGGCCACTAAGTCGTACAGTGACTGTAACTTTGTGACCACTAGGTTTGCAGGCACCAGACTAGGGTCTGGGGAATTTGAAGACGCCAGGCATGGCAGCGGTGTCCGGAGAGGAATGAGCAGACACATGGGGCTTATGCTGCAGGGGCTTTGACTCTGTGCTTTGTCTGTGGACAGTGAGAGGCAACTGAATTTAGCCAGATTTCAGCTCTAAAGCGATGACCCTAAAATGGTCCCAGGCCTGATGTTCGTCTGGGTTCTGAGAGGAACAGAGGATATATGTGTCATCTATATATTCCCAAGGAATTGGGAAGATGGCAGCATTTCAAATCTGGGCCCGGGGAGATGGCTCGGTGGGGGTGGGTAGGAACAGTTACTGTGCAGGCATGAGGACCTGTGTTAGAGTCCCCAGCACCCATGTAAACAGCTGGGCGTGGCCTGCACACC